TCGATCCAAACCTACCCCAAAATCAGCTAGAGCATACTGAGAGGGTTCGAAAACATACCACACTCGACGGAAAAACTGGCCGGAATCGCTGCGCCGTCGTGGTGAAAACCGGGAGAAAAACCAGTCGAACCCGTCGGCTGGAATCGGGTTTTCCAGCGGGGAAATGAGGTGGGTTGTGATCAGGACTTCGAGACGAATCCAATGGGACCCGTGCCGGCCCTTCCCGTTGCCGGAACTGAGAGAATCGAAGAGAGAGAAAGAGAGAGTTGGGGAGAGAGAAACAGAAGAGAGAGAGAGAGTGTACGCGGGAGAGAGAGAGAGAGAGTGAGGTAAAAATTGAAAAATCTGATTTTTACTAAACCCTTCGAAATATTTACGGTTCCGCCACCGAACTTGTTTTGATCGCCAAAACTTCGTTAAATCTCCGATTCAAGCCTACTGCATGTCTATGGTTTCGTCTCAGTACCACCTACGCAACCAAACCACTCGTGGTCCCAAAATCTTCCCGGATAAGAAATTGACCAAATTATGTCATAAGCCAAACCCAAAATTAATATTTAATTATTAATTTATTTGAGAAAAAGAAAAAAATACCCCTAGAATATTTTATTAGTTTAAAAGTTTACTTTTTGACCGGGAAGGAATTTGGGGATTTTAGTTGTATCGTTGCGTAGAGCGCGACGAAACGAGTTCGTAGACATGTAGTGGACTCAAATCGGAGTTGTAACGAAGGAGTTACGATCAAAAGAAGTTCAGTGGCATAACCGTAAATATTTCAAACTTCAGTTTATATAAACCCAGAAATTTCTGGGTTTCGGGGGGCTCGACCAGCCAGTTTCCCGGGGCGATTTCTCCCACCTCCGGTCACCGATTCAGGCAAGACCGGTCACGTTAGAACCACCACACTTTCCTCTTCCAGTCCCAGCCCATCTCAGTCTCGATCTGCCGTCGTGATAGCCGGAAACCGCCACGAAACAGGGCGGTTTGGACAGTTTTTGACGGAATTTCGTGGAGCTCGTTCTCCCTCCTCCGGCCATCGTTTCAGACGAGTGAGGTATGGTTTTCTAGCTATTTTTCGTGCTCTAGCTGCTGGTTGGGTAGGATTTCAGAAATTTCCAGCGTAGATAGCTCGATTTACGAGCTAGGTTTCAGCAGGTTTTCGGGTCACTGTTCCGGCCACTTCCGGCCAGTTTTTGGGGTAGGTCCAAGAACAAAAGTGGTTCCAAATAGGGTGTTATACCTAGGATAGGAGTCTTGAGCTTAGATGTTGAGTTTTTCTGACAAGGCGTTATCGCTTAGGACACCCACGCGCTGCCAGCGCGTGTGGCGGCGCGTGAGCAGATTGGTTGAGACCCCATTCAGTTCCAGAATGATCCTTGGGTCGTCATGAGCGCGTAGAAATTCGCGGATCTTAATTCGGATACCGTTTGAACCCCGAACGGATCTCGCCTAGTATGTGATTTCCGGGTTCTATATGTTTGAACCGTTGGATCGTAGTCAACTTCAGGGATGTTAATCTTGGTTTTTCCAGGATCGTATAGTATTTGGCGGATCGTAAAACGAAGTCCCGGATACTCCGCAAACGTCAGCCCTAGAGTATGTTTTACGGATAATTGAACCAGTTACAGATCTGGGGCAGGTGAAAGAACTACGTGTGACTTGATCCCTCAGAAAGGGTACGTAGGCAGCCTACAGTTACCAGGCGCAGCCACAAGATAGGGCCCCAGAGTTTGTGTTATCGCTTCCAGGGCATTTTGGTCATTTACGACCCACAGGCACTAGGTGTCAGTTTTGCACAGGATTCGACCCGGATTCCAAAGTGGAATTTAGGTCAGGTCGTTTCAAATTACCTTTAACCCAAGAGTAAATTAATAATTTCTCTTAATTTAATTAAAATATGGAATAATTGGAGTCGGGGTGTTACACCTTTACCCAAGTCCAGTATAACCCTTAATTCCCAATTACTTTCACATTCCCTCTCCTCCATAACCACAAAGTTAGGGAGCCAAATGGCTGTTCTTCAAGACCAGAAACAGAGCTCCTCTTGCCCACCAACATCCAAGGTCCACTCTTTCTTTCTCTCTCTAATATATGTTTACGGTTTTTCTCGCAAACTAAGTATTTGCAGAGTAATAGGGGAAGACCACCAAAGAACAAGGAAAAACTGTTTCATTTCATCTCTCACTCAGTCACTGATGAGTGAAATAATTATGAGAAACGCTATGCTCTCTTCCTTTAATTGATTGATATTGTTATTTAGATTAGAGTTTATAATTGATTGATGACGGTATATAAAGTTTTTAATTCAATTGAAATTGAAATTTGTTTGATTTATTATATGAGATTTGTGTTTTCATTAATGGTTTATTGATAGTATTTTAATTAATTGATTAAGGCTTGTGTTTTGATTAATTGATTAGGGTTTTGTGTTTTGATTAGTTTTTTTGTTGTTGGTTGATTAGGAATGAAAGTGCTATGGCTTTAATTTTTCAATCCTATTTCGTCTAAAAAATATTTTCCAACTTTTACACTAAGACCCATGGCTAATGAATCCTGGATCCACCACTGTTCCTATGTCTTTAAGTAATTGGTGCATGGTTCACTTGTAATGCACTTTTCCATACATCCGCAGCTTTTCCAACTCAAACTTTGATGCATATATCCTATATGTCTATGTATGAGACGGCTCCTATATGGATATGGCTGTAAATTGGATTGAAAATCCGATTTTGACCAATTTCGGTCCGAAAATTTCCAAAAAAATCCGACTCCGATACATCTGATATCCAAAAGTGCCGAAATCCGAAATTTCCGATAAAATTCAGATCAGAATCGGTAAATTCTGAAAATTCCGAAATTCCGATTCGAAAATTCCCGAAGTTCTCAGAACCCTATTTGATCCAATTTTTCCGATTGTTTACTAAAAATTCCGAATTTATAATAATATTTTATGATTTATAATTTTAATTGCATTTTTTTTAGTTTATAGGTCCTATATATGTTTCATTTCTTATTTGTTATATTTAAGTGCCATCCAACATACAAATATTCATATATACATGTATACTAAACATAGGAGTATATATTACTTTGAGACTGTATTTCTGGCTAACATGTTTGTTTGAATATTACAAAAATTCATATGTGTGGTTATCATATCCAAACATACCATATAACAAAAATGCATGTATACTTATGTATTCTATATATGTGTATCTATTTTTTGTTATAATGTATGTGTATATATAAAACAAACATACATGTATACGTCAAAATTATACACATGCCTACATATACTAAAAGTTTGTTATATATTGTAACATCCCACATCGACCGACGGAGACGGGGTGATGTGCCTTATATGTACATGTCTGCATCCATCTAGCACGAGGCTTTTTGGGAGCTCACTGGCTTCGGAGTCATGGGAACTCCGAAGTTTAGCGAATTGGGGCTGCAGCAATCCCACGACGGGTGACCCACTGGGAAGTTGCTTGTGAGTTCCCAGAAACAAAACCAGGATACCATCCATTATGATTACATATAAAGTATTCACCCACCTTATTATTATTTTTATGAAACCTTGATGCTGATGCTGACACATCTCCAGCAACGACATGATTCTGGTTCGAAGGTGTAGTTGTTTCATGCTGGAACATTGTGGTTATATCTTCAGTTACGGTACCCTCATTATTATTCTGCTCGTACACAAGCTGGATTCCAAATTCCTTTATCAACATAGCATCTTCATCTACTCTAACCGAAACACGTATTTCTTCCCCACCCTCCAATTCATCGTTTGCGAATCGCCAATGACTAAGCCATAACATATGTTCCTTCTCTTTTGGATACCCTATTGTGACTGGCATATAGGTCCACTTAAGACCCTTGGTCTCATTACTGATGTGAAGAATGGGAACGCACGTGTCCAATTTATATTCTTCACGAAACTTATTACCTCGTGCATACACAACACATGCATTTAGGCCTCGGATCTTCAAATTAAGATGTGGAGGTATAGTTACAGACAGCTCAGAGTTACCCATGCTCGACTTGTAGCGGAACCAATCTGGAACCTCGCTCCCAGGAAGGAATATGCTAAATATACCACATTCATCCAGTCCCTGTTTCATGCATGCATGGAGAGATTTATATATGTTCAAATATTACAGGCCACAGAAAATAATCATCATAAAAAACTATACAATACATGAGAAAGAGAGAGAGAACCTGGAGAGGACCCTTCCTTTCTGTACATGTCAAGTAGTCGTACATTTCAACTTCAGTGCTTCCTATGGATTCCAAATTGAACAGACCGATATCTTTGATCATTTCTATGTCGACGCTTCTCAACGGTCTTGTTTTGAGCACGTTTTGAATTTCAACTACATTCTCGCATGCCATAATCGCAAGTCTAATTATTGGTAACATGTCGGGTAAGTTTAGTAGTACTCTTTTCAATGAAGTACATCTAGTTGCGATCAAATCCTCTACACTTGGCGGGAGCTCGGGAATCATTTCGAGGTTTTGGCACATATCCAACGAAAGTCTGTGGAGCTTACTAAGACCATTCAAGTTTACTGGTAGGCTCAAAAATGGGTTTCCATCTAGATTCAAACGCTCCAATGAGGATAGGCTACTAGGAAGATCATTAGGAATTTCTGACAGATTGCAGTACGCCATATCTAAGCTTTTTAAAAATTGTGGCCAACTTGCACTGGTAAGTTGGAGATTTTTTCTTGGCAATACCCATGATCGCATTGATTGCCACAGACTGAGTTTCTTCATGTCACTAGGTGTAGAGTCTGACTGATTTTCAACGATCTTACTGGCAGGCAGCACAAGATTTGAGCAACCAGAGAGAATAAGTTTCTGGAGAGATCGCAGCATACTAATTCTTATTGGAAGCTTCATGAGATTTTTGCAATCTTTTAGATTCATGAAAACAAGTTTCTCCAAATCTCCAATGGATTCATCCACCTCTTTCAAATTTATGCAATCTTTAAGAATTAATTTCTCGAGGTTAGGGGATCCTGACAAGTCAGGGGTTGTCACAAGGCCATGTGAATGACTGAGATTTAAGATTTTCAGTATTGGAAGAAACTGTTTTAAAAAAGAAGTAATTAGTTTCTATAAATATATAATCATCTTTAAATTTGTCTGTCTGTGTGTGTGTGTGAGAGAGAGAGAGAGATAGCTAGATAGAGATTAGTAGCATACCTTAGTTCCCTTCCAAACATGTTGGAGGCTGCTGTTCCGCAAGTCAAGAGCAATTAGATTTTCCAAGCAAAAATTGGTTGGTATTGACTTTAAAGCGAATCCTCGCCAAGACAACCATATTAAATTTTTTGGGAAATCTTCATAGCCTCCACTGATTTTTACATTATCAAGCAGCAGGAGTTCAAGATTCTGCATCCTTCTAAATGCCTCTGTTTTGAAACCTATCTCATTTGATACAGGAAATGAGTTTGTTGAAGAAAAACTAATTGACTGCCAGGAGAAGAAACCAAGCCGACGTCGGCTGCTTGAACAGTTTCCATCATAATCTTCAACATGGAATCTTTTTCTGTTACTTCCACTGGATGTTATCTTAGAAGACTCATCTTTTATTAACATAGGAATGTTGAGCATGAGGCCCTTAATAGTTTCTGTACCCTGGTAACAATTTAACAAATAAGAACATTGGGTAAGTAACTTGTCACATGCACAACACAATTACGAATACATAGACATAAAAGAAGATATTTCTTACAGTTAATTTTCTCAAAACATTAGAGGCATCTTTATTCCACACTCTAGTACGTTTTCCAGGATCCTCAGGCGATTCTTCGCGAATAATTCCCCCTCCCATGTCTTGAAGTAATTGGTGCATGGTTAACTTGTTGAATCCATCAATTATCAGCAGACATCTATCAACCAGATTTTGAATTCCAATGTTTGTGGCAAACTCACATTCATCAAGGACTGTAGTTGAAAAATCCTTGTCTTTTCCTATGAAGAAACAGGCTATATGGAGGAACAGACGTTTGACATGATCTTGCAAAGAATCAAAGCTTATTCTGAGAATCTTTTGAATTTTTCCTTCAGTAATCACATCCAAGTTCTGTAATGCATTTTTCCATACATCTGCAGCTTTTCCAAAGAGAGAAGATCCTAGAACTTGAAGAGCTAATGGAACCCCTCCACAGTGTTGTACTACAGGTCTTGAAAGATCCATGTGACCTTCGCTAGGATGGGGTTGTCTAAAGGCATGCCAACTGAAAAGCTCAAGTGATTCATTCTCATTCAACCCTTTCACCTTAAACATTGCACAATTCTCATGAGCCTTTAACAAATGTTCATGTCTAGTTGTTATGATTATCTTACTTCCTGGATGAAGCCATTCTCGCATCCCAAGAATTGCATTGAATTGTTCCAAGTTGTCCACATCATCAAGAGCAATAAGAACTCTTTTGCAACGTATCGCACGTTTGATCTTTGTTATTCCTTCATCCAAGCTGTATATTTTCTTTGCTTTCCCCTTTTGGAGACCTGAAAGAAGGTTCCTTTGCAAGTGAACCAAACCATTGGGAAGTTTTGAAGTTGCTCTAATATCTGCAAGAAAGCTGCTACCTTGAAATTTATAGAAGTTCTGGTTATAAGCAGTCTTGGCAATGGTGGTTTTGCCAATTCCACCCATCCCATAGACTACAGCCACTCCAACATCGCTTGATCCATCTTCTAACCACATGTTTAGGCCTTCCACACGATTATCTATTCCAACTACATAGGGATCATCGACTCTTAATCTCCTATTCCATGTGTGATCCAGTTTATTTCCAATAACTTCAACTATATCTTGGATAAACTGCGACTCATACCTATAAAATATTGATATCAAAATAAACAAGGCACAAAAAGTTATTTCTTTTCAACAAAAAGAAACTTATTTCTTTATTATTTTTATTTTTATTTTATAGAAGAGAATTGATATTTATATCATAGGTTGAAATGAATGATATTAAGCAAATGAACTTTCAAAACAGAAGTGCTGCCATCTAACAACTCCATGAGATTAAAGAAAAAGCTTCACTAAATCTATTTTAAAAAGCATCCAAAAGTTAGAGTGAAAACCACCATTTTGGGAATGAAAAAGTACCGATCTCCTAAAACCATCCCTCCCAAATCTGCAACATCTCTGAGAGCTTTTTTCCACTTCTCCACTTTGTCCATCTCCTTGTTGAAGCGCTGTTGGTGTCTGGCAAATGCTTCTTCAAAAATTCCTGTCTGGTTCCTGACATGGGATGGATCCACGTCATAGAAAATTGGCATAACCATGTGCTCATTAGTTTCTCTACGGTCCATGATCGTCACTAGTTCATCCAGGCACCATCTCGAGGAAGCGTAGTCCTTGGAGAAGACAATGATGGATACTCGAGACTCTTGTATTGCTTTTTGAAGCTCTGCTAAAATATTTGCTCCTCTCTCGATTTCGTCATCATCTCTAAAAGTGTGGATCCCTGCCACCTCCAAAGCCCTGTAGAGGTGATCAGTAAATCCCTTGCGTGTGTCTGTGCCCCTGAAGCTCAAGAATGCATCATAAGTGCACCGGTGAGAGGACGGAGAAGCATTCTGCTGCGTGCTGGTGGCAGCCATTTGTATGTTCAGCTTGTGTTTGTGTCTTAGAAAAAAAATCTTGCTCTATAAAAGAGAACAGAATAAATATAAGAAAAAGAGGAACGCATGACAAAGTCACAAAGTTAGTGACCAAAGTGATAAGGTATCAAATTCTATGCCTATTGCCCCACCAGCCACTGAACATTTGTGATATCGATTTTCACACTGAGATGCGAGAGATGTATTGAAGACGAAGCTTCCTCAATATTGTAACATGCCGACTCAAAAATATTATTATTCGTGAATTTAATTGATTTTATAAAATATAAAATTACAATTTTGCCTATGAGAGTAGGGATATTTCTGTCACTTTTTACTAAATTCCAGAGAAATGGGTTATCGGTCCACTACTAGTAGTTTTATCACAAATGACGTTGGTGTTATTATGAGCAGAACCACTTATTATAAGTTGTAATTTATTTAGTCAAGTTTCCGATGTGAGATTTTATATTGTTCAACATTAATTTTCTTTAAAATGTAAGGAAGAAACTAAAAATTAGACTAAATTGCATAGATGAAAAATATGGTCATTCAAGAATATAGATAATATATTCTGTAATAAATGGACTATATTATGCTCACTTGTGATGCAAATGGAAATATACATGTTCAAGCAAATTGACTAGATGATTCATGGAGTGAAAACTAGCTAATGGAAAAAGTGGTCAAGTACATGATGAATAGTTAAATAATGTGTGTGACAGATTAATACTAAGAATATAAATGAAAAACAACAGCCAGTGGACTAGAAGTCATGTGAGTTTCATTTTGATCCAAAACAAATATTAATTTATACAAATGTAAAACAGATAAAGATATAAGAAAGATGGAACGTAATTAAAGCCAAGTGGAGTCAAAGTCAATGTTATGCATTTGGGACCATTCTCTCAGATTAAATGTTGTGCATTCTCCACCTCCAGTTGATAATTATAGTTGCTCTCCGTCTCCGCCATGCTCAAATTTCAATTGGATTGAAACCTTACGCTCTCTCTGCCTCCAAGAATCTGAAAGGGTGTAGAACTCAAAAAGCCGCATGGCTGAGCATTCGCTCGAAAGCAGAAAGGTCTTGAAAGTTGATGAAGAAGAAGAGGCGGGAGATGCTAACAGAGAAGCTGAAGAAGAAAAGTTTAATTCTAAGAAAGAAGGCCAAAAGTCACAATTGGTACTTGTGGTTTGCTTTTAATTTTCTCCTTTTGGTTTACTACTAATTTTTTTTTTTTCAGTCAAATGTTCAATTTTTTCTTTTGTCAAAGTTAGGAAGGGGTAGGAGCATTACCCTTTTCTTAAACATGCACTGCCAAAGTGCCATGGGATTCCAACGTGAACGCTGTTAGAGAATTGTTTCAAGGGCACTTCTTGAGCCGACATCAAAACACGAATATCTTCGTGAATAAGCGCACATGCATAGTTCAGCGCCTAAGAAAAGTTGCAGTCAATTTATGGTGCAGCTCATACCTATCCGTCTTTGCAACACCTTACATAATAATAACTTAAAAAATTGTTCAAATAAAAGAAAAAAAAGGGCAGTCCCAACTTATGGTGCAGCTCGTCATACCCATCCGTCTTTCATACACAATATGAAACGTTTTCCCTCTCGGGGTATAGGGAGCTGCTGCTTCTGTTCTTCTCCAGTCCCTAATTCATCGTTTGCAAACCGCCAATGACATAAAGATCAGTGCAAAAATTCATATTTAGAACAAATGGAATCATCGTCTAGCCTAAACAAAAATTGATGGAGGTCTTAGGCTCCTATTGAAAATCAAGATGAGCTGGGTTCTTCGAGCTCAATCTGAATTGATATTGGTCCTTATAATTACAAAGAAAGTATTTGCCCGTCTGCAATTGATACTTTGAAGCAGACACAGACACATCTCCACCAAGCACATTCTACCTCGAAGGAGATGCTTCCTGTTGGATTGTTATATCTTGATCACTATTTGATAGCACACCCTTACCCTTATTTTCCTGCTCATACACAAGCTGGATTCCAAATTCCTTTCTCGAGAAACCATACTTCATATCCACCGAAACACGTACTTCTTCACAGCCTTCCAATTCATTGTTGCCAAACAACCAATGGCTTAGCCATAGCGTATCTTCATTCTCTTCTGGACAACCCATTATGACTGCGGAATAGGTCTACTTAAGACCCTTAGTCTCATTACTGACTTAACAAAGTGTTGGCTTTGAAGCCCAAGACCCCTATCTGGATGACGAGTATACACAACACATGCATTTAAGCCTCGAATCTTCCGGTGGAGATGTAAAGGTATGATAATAGACAACACAGAGTTGCCCATGCTCCTGTATGTTGAAATATAATCCTGTTCTGCCTGATTTCTCCAGTTCTGCCTGATTTGTTCAGTTCTGCCTGATTTGTTCTGTTCTGCCTGATTTCTTAGAGCAGAAGTCATTTTCTATTTTCTGTTCTGTCTATTTTAAATGATGTAATGAGAACCATTAGATCATAGTCTAGGTGGATTCTCTAGCTTAGATTTGGTATGACACGTGTAAGCACCTAATAGGGTGACAGTTGTAATTCTGTTAGAAGAGAATCACATTTCTCTCTCTGTCAGACACACTATGTAAGCGGCAGATTGTAAGAATTCAATAGAACAGTGCCTTCCTCATTTCTCTTCATTCTCTCTAGCTGAAATCTCCAGAAAATACATCTCTTCCTAATCTGAAAATACATATACAAACTAAGAAT